TCACTGGCGAGGCCAACTAAACAGCCCGTAAACCATGAGTGAAGGTCACTGGCATGGCTGACTAAAAAGCCTGTAAACCTTGATTGTTAACTTTCTTGGCAGGGTTATATAACTAAATCTATAGACTTGACAAAAAAAAACTTTATAAATAAAGGAGAGGACGTTATACGACATCAACCAATATAATATTATATAATATTATAAACTGGTATATAATATTATAAACTGGTATATAATATTATAAACTGGATAGGTTGTATAACGTTTAACTTGGCCTCACTTAATGAGGGGATAGTCTCAAACCCTATCCAATATAAAGCTAAAAGAGGTGTAAGAATACATCATTTCCACCATTAAAGAACTATACCAGATGTAACAGATCTATATTACTCGTTAAGCTCCTTATATTATACCACATAAAATATTAACTTGATCGGAAATTAGAAGATTTGAACCCTAGTCTCCTATACAAACATAACACTACTATACAACACTAAAAATCACTCCAACTTGATATAATACAAATGGTAGCTAGTAAGGATCGAACCCACAAACCTCTAAGAACAAGGACCTACACTATGATACAATACCATACTAAAAACACCCCAACCAGAAATTATCGGTGATTGGTAAGGATTGAACCCGTAAACCTCTGAGATCGAATATGCATACACAAACAAGAGACTACAACACAACATCATACAAAAAAACACCCCAACCGGAAATGAAACGTTTGGTAAGGATCGAACCCGTAAACCTCTGAGATCAAGGACTCCCACTACAATACAAAACTATACCAAAATCAACATATCACCCCAACCAGAAATGAAACGTTTGGTATGAATTGAACCCGTAAACCTCTGAGATCAAGGACTCACACTATGATACAATACCATACTAAAAATACCTCAACCAGAAATGATCGGTGATTGGTAAGGATCGAACCCGTAAACCTCTGAGATCATGGACTACCACTACAATACAACACCTTACCAAAAACCAATATATCACCCCAACCGGAAATGAAACGTTTGGCATTAATCGAACCCGCATACCTCTGAGATTAAGGACTCACACTACTCCCACTACAATACAACACTATACCAAAAATCAATATATCACCCCAACCAGAAATAAAATATGTTTGTTAATTGGTAAGAATCGATCCTGTGAACCTCTAGGACCATAGGTTCATATAAAAACTGTTAACTATAATCCAATACCATACCAAAAATCAACATATCACCCCAACCGGAAATAAAATCTTTGGTGATTGGTAAGGATAGATAAGGTAGTCTAGAGAAACAAGCGGGCAAGTAAAATTTAAAGAGTTATGTCTCAAACCGCAAATGTAACATGAATGATGACACTATTTAAGACACAACCAACAAGTAGGTCTTATAAAGGAATGTGATTTTATGTTAAAAATAAATACATGTTATTAGGATATTAAATTCTAAAGATGCTCTTGGAATAGTTTAAAATCGTTAAAACATCAAATTTTATCCTATGTGATTATGTATTAAAAATTAGAGTTTTGTCTATACATTGTTCAAAATTACATAATTTTTGGTTATTTTTACGATATATTGACCAACCAATTTGTGTTATCTTAATTTCTATCCATTGTAATATGATACCACTACTTTACAAATTGTGCGCTATTTTGTAAAGTTTCTCTTAACATTTACAATTTATGAAATACTCATATGTTTGGATATCTATGAAGTAATGAACATCTGTTTGGATAGATTTATTTTTTTGTCACTTATATTTTTACATTAAATGTTGTTTACACATAACCGTTACCAAACATGTTTTGTAAGTACACCCAAATGAGATGAAAAACGTTTTTTCTTACGTTTAATTAATCGCAAGAGTAATAACGTGTAACCATAAATGAAACTTCTATGCATTATTTGGGTTGCCAATTGGAGATTCTGTGTTTATCAAATTGTACTTGAGCTTAACCGGAATACAGAGTTTAGCCTACATATCCGGAAAAATACACACTAAAATGCAAAAGAAATACTGTTCCGATTGTGAGAAGATCAACATGATTCCATCCGTACAAAGCTATTTGTACATAAAAAATGAAGATAATTGAATATTCTAGGAAGAGAGAGAGAGAGCTCAATTAGTTTGCATCAAAAATGAATGCATGCTGCTTAATGAGTATGGTCACAGAGATTACACTAAAAAGACAATTTAAACAATTCAATGTAATTCAAGTACTAAGATCCTTCATTTAAATAAAAAGCTCGACCCAGAGTTATGTAAATCCCCATAATACAAAAATTTACTAATCTGAACGCCCCACAGTAGTTCTTTCTAGGCTGTATGTATATATGCACCATAATGGTTAATAATGCTAACCAAATAGAGTGTTATTTATACCAACTATAAAATACTACATAGAACATAGAATGTTTTGTCAGTGTAGAAGGTTTGAGTGTGTTTCGCGGTCATTAGATACTGTTATCTCATTTCCTGTAGATACTGTTGCACAGTCCTTAAATTACATCACTTTTGCTCTGTATTTGAACATATTTTCTAAGTCATGTATCGGTAGTTAATTTATAAACCTACATTTAAATTACCGATCACCAATAACATATTACTGTAGTACAACGATGCTAAATCTTATAGATTTCCCAGTAAAACAGTATGTGCATAATATGTGAGCTCGTACAGCCATACGGTCACGAAAATGTTAGTTCCAGCGCTTGCGAGTAGGTTCATTGAAAAGTATTAATAAAGTAGTCTCGCGAAAACGTCATCATTGCCTTCGGTGTCTGATTTTTGGAGACATGTTTTTTATTGATTAAATTCCAGCTATCAGGCATTTTCAATAACCCTATATCCATCCTGAGTCTGGTAAAAGTATGTTTGTATCAGCCAAGAACCCAAAAATTAAATACCGAATTCTATTTGTTTATGTACTTTTTCTAAGCTATTAATAGTTTATTCCAGGTTTTAATAGGTGGGCTTTTAACCCGTCTACCATAATGGTTGTAAAGACTATTATAAACAAGTTTTTTTGTAGCAATCAAATGTTCCATATTGCTCCTAGCTATGAATGTAATGCAATACCTATTGACTACGACTCTTTTAAGTTGACACTGTGTTGCAAAAAAAAACTTAATGTTAAGTAATAGTTTTAATGGAGAAGTCTTTTAGATTGCCATAAAATAGATACACTTGAAGTCATATGTAAGCTCCTTTTACTGTTATCAAGGTTCATAATACTTTGAATAGATAAAAAAGCCTCTTTTATGACACAAAAACTACCGATATTCAACTTATACTATAAATATGTAAAAACTGCTAATCAACTAAATTACCTAACACTCCAACATAGTGACCAAACTACATCCACGATACGTGTGGCTACGTAATAATTGTATGATAAGACCTCAATTACTCTAAGTCAAATATACCTTCCAGTTTACAGACATATGATCTTTACCATAAATTTAACACTAAAAACAATAGTGTAAATGTTTATCATTATTAGGGTGTAGTTATGCTTATTATAGTTCTTGATTCAACCTAACCCTACACTCATCTCTAAAAACCTACATTTGTATGGTTGCTATTTCAACATAATATCACTAGAAAAGTACAATGTTACTGTGAAATACCATACAGTACTTATAACATTAAAGTGACAAGAACGCTGTGTTGCTTTGAGTCTGTTTTGCGTAGGTTTTATTCAGGCTTATTAACATAGCCATTGCTTTCTAAGAAATCCTAGCATTTCCGCTCTCATGCTCGGTGATGAGAAAAATACGCTAAACTCTACAGAACGTTACAGTAAATAAATATCCTATCTCATAACGGAATTGTTGCTTATATACTTGATTTCAGCATTAAGCTCTGTACTGTATTACGATGGAACTGCAGTTTATTAGACAACAAATGGGACACCAAGTCTATGAGAATACAACTTTCAAAAACATAGAAAGTTTGATGGCGGAAAAAAGCAAAATCAATTTTAACAGTGTGATTAGTTTTTCATAATTTGCAAATAATCTAATTCTACGCTATTTTGTCAAGTTTTCTCTTAATAATTTCACTAAACATTTTAATATAGTTATAGTACACGCAATAAAAGGACTGGTAATTATTTTTATCCAAACAAAAGATCTACTGCTTATATTTACATTGTGTCTTATAACCAATGGTTTGCATTTTCCTGATTAAAGGTTGTTTGTTATACAAGAGCTAACACTTAAGGATGATATTTAAAATTATCAGTACTAGATAGATTTTTACTGTATGCAGTTTATATTCAAACAAGTTTCTACAAAAAATGTTAGGAAAATTATTTGTATTGCATAATACATATCATTTTGCCGTACTGCAGTCAGTTAAATGATTGTATGAATAATGCTTTACTTTTTTAATTTTCTTAGCTATTAAAATGTTCATACATGTTGTCTAAACATACATTTTAACGTTAGTTTGTACGGAATCGGCCTAATGACAGCATTTAGAAATGAACCATATAACAAGCACCTACCTATGTTTGGTAAAAGCTTCCTGTTCACTTTACATCTCATTTCAGTCATAACTTAATTGGTTACATAAGTATAAAGTTCAATTTGGTAATCAATACCATTTATGTAATTCTCTTTTTTAGAAGTTGATAAATTTATTTGTTTTTAATGTGTTAAGAGTAAGGTACTATTTTTATTAAATGAGTAAAATAACGATTGGTTTTATGTTAAGTAATATTTTGAATTCATGGACAGACTCTTTAGACATCTCCTTTTTTTCTACAGGATAAGTGGTTTTTAAACTCCTTGGTACTATTATATATCAACACTAAATAAAAGTGTTTGGACACCTAAAGCGAACCTGTAGATATATCAATGGTTTAAATGGTATTTTTAAGCTTTTTAGTTAAAGGCTAGTGGTTGGTGTTCAATGTTTTATCTATGTGGGTGATAATAATTAAGATGCATCTAAAGTCTACTATGGAATACAACACTTACCAGTCCTTCACCTCATGAGCTGCTTAACTTCAGGTGTGCGACCATAGACCTCTGCCGTAGACCACTGCCATAGACCTCTGCCGTAGACCTTAACCGTAGACCTCTGCCTTTGACTCAGCTGTAGACCTCTGCCACTGATGCTCGCTGACTCTGTCATAGAGTTTGCATCTGTCAATCACATTAAAGAGCATTAAACTCTAAGCTTGTTAATTGTAACAAAGACCATTTCCTAAAAATCAATACAATATATTTATCAATGACTGTGTTAACAAAAGAGCATAGCAACATTTTTGCATAAACTTTTACCCATTATTCCAAGTAATTAATGAAAAACCCTGTTGATTGTTTGTAGACGTTATAGGCTGATTTCTAGATAAATCCTAAAGTACCTATGAACTTTTGTAAGAACCACACTCTTATAATTAAATTTTGAAACCTTGTGCAAAACTACCCATTAAGGCCGTGTAAAGTCGTGATTCCTATATACAAAATGTTAAAAATACCTCAGTTGCACTTATTAGTACCTTAATAAACTCAGGTGTCATTACTTGATTGTTTTACTGTATACTTAAAGCCCAATGTTAACAACAGTTAGTATCTGTAATAGGCCTACCATATGCTACAATCTTAGAATATTTACAGCAATCAGCTGTATGCCTAATAGATCAAACCCAAGAAGTTAAACTTATTAATTTATTATTCACATTATTGTTTTTTTTACTTTTTACTATAGCCCTAATTTGTAAATGTGTAATCTAATTTGTAGGTTTAATTAATGACTTACCTATTTGATCCCAGATGTATTTCCCTCGCCGGTGTTTCAAATAACCGGACCAAAAAAAAAGCTGAACTTAAACGTTGACCAAAAATAGCTATTTATTAATGTATCCTCACTAGTAATGTTAAATGACAAAAATATCAGATAACCACAACAAAGTTAAAATATTTGTCCAAGACAAGATATAATTTAAGCAACAAGACCTATATCCAAGAAAGAAGACAGAACCTACACTGAATGCAGCCTGAGCATACCAAAACGTCTAAACTGAACTAACTACAACCGCAACAGGCTTCTCACGCCTGATAAGAAGGGTGGGGCGCGTTGTTATCTCCATAGTTTTCACAGCACTGTAAAACAATATTCCTGAGCAATTAAAACATGAATTTTCTTACTTTTATACGGCTTTTTTAATTAAGAAACTAAAAACATATTTGGGATCTACATAATTTACGATATCATAGTACTAGGTATATAAATGCTAAATTCCAATCAACAAACATGTAAAACCATAGTACCTAGAAGTAGAGAATTTGCATACATATTCCTCTCATAGCATCAAGAATCAATTTTACACAATTAACAATGGGTCCTACTCTACAGGAGGTTAAGGTGTTAATATAAAAAGAATAATTTTGTTTTTTACATTATCGTAGATGAGAACTATTTGAAAATTGCTGTAATTTATTTAATCAGAGTTGTTAGGAAAAATAGATTTACTAAGATAATTTTGACCTTACATCATAGTTGTATGTCATTGAAGTCATAAAATAAACCTAGTCAACTTCTAGAATGTAAGTAGAATTGAGTCTAGTTTTTTTCCTTATAAGGACCTATGGTATAGTTATGTTAATATTTTTTTAGTTGTTTAAACCTTTCACACTATTGAAAGGTGTTATTGAAGGTGAAGGTGTGTGTTGGTATACACACTAAAGTTTTAACTGTGGGTTCGTGTCATATAATATCGTTCACATCGGAGGAGCTTATATGTTTATTCACTATCATCTACAACAAACTATAAAACTGTGTTCAAAGCAATTGTTGTAGGGAGTTAGGGCTACTTTTTAAACCTACAGATGTAACGAAGACCTTAATTCCTGGAATACTTGTATGACAAACAGTTTACCTTTGGTGAGTCGTGTGAGCTTTTACAACTATTCATATTTGTGTTTATTGGTATGGTGGGTTATATGATGGGTTTGGTGATGAACATAATCCCACATTCAATCAGGTCCTGTCTAGCAGGCATTGTCACAAAAAGAGTAATGTGATTTATTTTAGAAATATCTGACGCTTGTTTAAACCACTTTTAAAGTTTCCACTAGTTTAAATATATCATAATCATAGTAATCTCTAGACATTGTACTAATAAATGTGAAAGTTTGTATGTTTGAAGTTCAATCATGCTCTGGTTGAATTGGGTTAAATTTTTGTATGATAATAGCTCACATTCCTGATTAACATATTCTTACCACAGAAATCTTTTCCCAAACGGCTCTATAGCCCCCATGTTGGACTTAGGCTATCAATATTCATGTTTTAAAAAAACTAGCAGTTACCCTGTTGCTGCTCTGAACAATTATTATTTTATCCGGTAATTAGTTAATTACGTTAAATGATAGAAATGTATAACAAAAACAGAAATAGAATATTTATTTTACTTGATTATCTGTGGATTAAACAGATTTTTCAAGTTTATTTCAGACTAGCACCTTTTACGTATCAGTCACTTGGAACTAAGATAAAAAAAATAAAATATATTATTTACTGAAGATTTTTTCTCCTTTAAACTTACCACTGATAGTTTTAGCTTCAATCAATTTTGGTGAGATTTTTTAAATTGTCAGTCTAGTAACGTTGCACAGCTTCAGCGGGGTTAAGTTTCGCAATTATTGAAGTTCCTTCTTTTAATGGTAGTAATGTGGTGGGTTAAAGACAAATTGAGAGGCATTTGAATACCTGAGGTAGCACAAACACATTTATTATTCACTTAATAATTTACGTTAAGTTATGTGGGTATAGAAAACATATTAAAGCAATTCCATCACTTTGATAAAGGTTTTTACATCTTTTTTTACTTTAATAGTGGGGGATTTAAGCTTTGTTGAGTGCACAAGTGTGCTGCGGTTGTACTTAACCAGAAATAAAATAGTTTTATACTGTGAGAACATTGTGACACGATTTCAAATCATAACAGAATGATGCAGTTATTCAAACCTACAAAACATCTAGTGAAAGTAAACATCTGCTTTAAATTATTTATAAACCTGTAGTTACTAAAATCCGACATTGGAGCCCTCTTGACAAATCTACACAAACCATCCTTAAATAATGCCTGAATGATTCATACATTCTGTTTTGGAGTCAATAACATACTTCCTATTTTATAGATTAAAGAGTTTTTCCAGCTAGTTCAACCACACAAGTTGGTTCTATAGGTTCAGTTGTTTAAAAAGGTTTACCTACACAAATAAATATTTTTTACATTTATTACAACAATAATTTAAACTAAGCAATAACAAAAAGCAATAAGAACATTGCTTGTTTAGGTGCTATAGTTTGGATATACAGTATTATTGTATCTCTAACATGTCTTTCAACATGCTGCTTAAGAATACTAAGTGGGGGTATTTGCATCATAGCAGTTATCAAGCTTCCGGCACAGACTTCGTGTTATCATGCGTGTTTGGTCCCCGCTCACTACAAAGCTGAATAATCATAAATAACTAGGTATTACCGGTATTACATACATACCTCGGCAGAGGATATGAGTAGTTGGGGTCAACACTTCAGGTCTAACATAGTCTCTTATAGAGAATAGAAACCTAACGTAAATTAACAGCTATTTTATCCCTGCATAAATTTTAATCAGTAAATTTGAGTACATGTATAGTTGTTGCTATTTATTACCACAAGGATGACAATATACTTCTCCACATACAAATGCTACATTTAGTTACATTTAAGTGGACATTAATTTTTCCACAGCCCCCATCAGAACTGAATTGTTTTACAGATTTGTTTCTGGTGGATAATTATTTTTGGAAAAGTGACTAAAATTTCTTCTACACAAGGAGTCGAGATGTGACAACATAGACGGATGCAATGCTCACCCTCATTATAGAAATATATATTATTATGTTAAACACTTCACAAAAGTATACTAAGCTTGTTATAATGGTGCAATAAACAAGATTTTCAGCTACATCAGAACATTCCAACCCACAATATACACGACACACGTGTTCTATTAAATTATACCTACCGCACAGTTATTTGTTTTGTTAATATAATGTCTACCAGCTCATAAGTACTGAAGATATAATTCATCAAATTCCTATAAAAGATTACTCAACCATTAGACATAGGTAATTTAACTATTGTCTTGTTACATAGTTATTTCTCTAAGTGTACCCAGAAATTAAAAGTTGAGGTAGTACATAAATCAATAAAAATTTCCTAAAGCATATTTCATTGATACTCCAGTGTCATTTTATAACACATAATTAGAGAGCAACTTTTTGTTAACAAGTAACTTATCGCTGCACAGGATATGGTTAGATAAGGATATTTGAATCACAACATTTTCCTCGGTTTTGTTATCTTTCCTTTAGGATAACAAGATACATAGGCTGCACATTATTTCTTGTGGATACCACTAGTTAGCTATTTCCATTCATTTAAACACCACTAGTTAGAGGCCATCTTTCCCCAGACATAGGATATGAAGCCACTTTTTACCCATAATCGTTACCTCATCCATAATAACATAAGCTATTAGTTGTGATCATAGCTCTATGACTAAGACAATTTGACCATTACCTAAAATATTAATATTCGATACCCGATCAAGGTACACACTTTTATTCATAATTTAATACTTAATTTACTTACATAGGTATGATTATGTTACTAAAGCAGATAACAGCTCCTAGGTAATGTCAATTTGGTGGAAAGGTCACATTATCAGATGACAACTCCTATGTACATAAGTAAAGTTATGACAGGAACCTTTAGCGGGAAAACAGACAACATACATACACAGTACATAGAGTGAGAATATATTAATTGGTGGAATGCATATACAATACAAGGTCATAAAGGTCATATAACCAACTAGGAATCAAACCCATGAACCTCTCACTACAAGGAAAAAACAACCCAAAATAACTCATTTAGCATAAAGTCAAACATACTACTGTATATTTGGTAGCTTTTAATGGTAAAGTTAAGCCCTCTTTCAGCTGTTTTTGACATGTTTGTTTAACATTTATTATACACTATAGCATATATAAAATAAAATGTTTTTTTTACAAAGAATTGAACCCGTAAACCTTTAAAACTCCCACTATACCAAAAACACATTTTTACACGCCTCAAAACACATAACATCCAACATTTGACAGTATTTATGCTCAACGGTAAGGTTCCGCTTAAGCATTATACACTACAGCATATATAGAATAAAGTGTTTTTTTTACAAAACCTGCTGGGTTAGAATTGAACCCGTAAACCTCTCCAGCTAGGTTAGGTTCAAAACCATAAACCTCTAAACAAAGATAGGATCCAACCCGTGAACCTTTAATAACATGATTTGTGGTTGGTTAAAATCGAACCCATGAACCTCCCGCTATAATACAGTACCATTAGTGGTTGGTTAGAATCGAACCCGTAAACCTTGCCAGAAGTGATAGGTTAGGATCAAACCCGTAAACCTCTAGCTAGAACCTCACACTACCGGAAATGATTGGTTAGGATTGAAACCGTGATCCTCCAACCGGAAATGGTTGGTTAGGATTGAACCCGCGAACCTCCAACCAGAAATCATTGGTTAGAATTAAACCCGTGAACCTCTAACCAGGTTATAATCAAACCTCCACAACCAATATTTACACACCCTTTATATGTAAGTTAAGGTACAGGTATGACTAGCATCATAGATCAGTAGCTAACGACCCCAACCCTTGTCTAAAAGACCCGAGTTCCAATTTGGTCAAGCCAACACTTTTTATCCATAATAATTTATTTAATACAAACACCTACTGACGTCAGCTAATCAGCTGTGGTTAGATTACATCCGGCTGAGAGTACCCTATCTACACCTCGATCATGCGCAATATCAATTTTGTGCCCGATCCGGGCAACGTCTACTTGGATGGTAATACGGGACCTTAGGTTATAATTATGGGGCATGAGATTACACACAAAGAGAAAAAGGATTTGTTGTTGTTGTGAGTTCTGAGTTGTTATTTCTC